CCATCTTGTGGTCGTGTCGCGTGGGTTCGGTAACGTGCATATCTATATACGTATGTATGTACACGTGCATGTAAATGTTTGCGCATATATAAGTATATACGTTTATATGTACATATTTATGTAGTCATATTTATACATATCCATACTACTACCCAACGCGAAAACCAGCACATAATATTGATAATTTCATTCTCGGTTTTCACTGGAGAATTTCATATAATTCTAACACCTTGTCATTCGGCTAGTGGAATAATATGAGTAAGTTGTTAAATACCAGAAACCAAGCAATCAAGCAATAAAAAAATGCAGGTACGAGTGGATTTGGTAAGTAAGAACATACTTTTACATTATGCACATACATATGTACAGTAAAGTCGTCGAAAAATGTATGTAAAAAAAATAAGGTCGGATTGTAAATGCCGCCACCCCCTAGGATTGTTATATACCGAAAAAAATAGACCCATATTTTTTATTTTGAATACTTTTTTGAACTTTTTTCAAAGGCTAGTTTAAGAAAAACTTTTATAACTCAGCCAAAACTTTACCAATTAAGACTTATGAGGTATCATTGGAAAGGTAAGGAGGTTAGGAAGGTAAGGCGAGTGTCACTCCATGTGGAATTAAGATGTGTTAGTATTTGATAAAGCAAAAATTGGGACGTGAATGAGTATTTTCTGCAAATAGCTAAAACGGGGAGACAATATATTTCCACTGATACCTCATAAGTCTATGGCGGCGAAGTTTTGGAGTAGTTACCTATTCAAGTTTTTCTTAAACAAATCTTTGAAAAAAATATAAAATAGAGCATCAAAAATCTCATTATTGTGATGTGTGGCGTGACGTGACATAAATTTCCATCATTATATTTTTGTTAACATTGCCTTTAAATTAATTTTTAACGCAAACAAAACAAGCATTTTATGTCGAATATACTTTATATTTTGACTTCAGCGCCAATTCTGGGTAAGTTTTTTGGAAATCTACGATTTATTATGTTTCAACTACGTACTCCAAATTCGAACCAAATCGTACCATAAATAAGCGTTTTCAAAATATCTCGACCCTGGCGCCACCCAGCAAGATCATTTTACGCCAGAATGCTTCTACTTACATAGCCGGTGTATACTTCAGAAAGCAGACATATTGGCCCATAAATACATTAGATATAT